TCCTCGTTATTGTTTGGTATTGCTCGGTATTTCTCGTTTTTTAGCGCGAATTTAGCTCTGGGAGGACGTATCTCGACATCAGGTGGGAAGCAGCAACAAAAAATGGAGAAGTTAAAAAGCAAACCCTATCATTTTAATTATAAATTAAATTAAGTTAGCTTAATTAAAATAATATAAATTATTAATAATTAATTAAATGATTAATGATATAATTAAAAATTAAATTTCTATTTAAAAAATGCTTAAATAATTAGTATTATAATTAATAATCAAATAATTTTTTATGTTAAATAATAATTAAATAATTAAGCTGAAGTAATTAAATAATTAATATTATAATTAACATGATGTATGTTAAATAATAATTAGTCAGAAGTACAAAATACTTAAATAATTAATTAGATAATTAATACACCCAGAATTTACTAAACCGATCGATAATCTAGCTTTATGGAAGTGGCTAAGCAAAATAATAATAATTTTGTTCTTCAGGATTTGACTTTGGCGACTCTAATGGTGAGGCCTACATTGATTTTTCAAGAAGATTTGAGCAATAAAGCTCCATTCTCCGAGGAGAGATATGGATCTGTAGACAAAGTATTTATCATATGTGGAGAAGATGCTTTGTTGACTGTAGAATTTCAGCGTTTGTTCATTCAGAATAGCGCAGTGAAAGAGGTGATGGACATCGAAGGAGCAGATCATATGGCGATGCTTTCAAAGCCTAAGGAGCTGTGCCAATGCCTTACAACAATTGTTAGCAACTATGTTAAGTGATTACGTACTAAATGTCTCTGAATCTTATATGATTTCAGAGAAAGTCTTTGTTCAGTTATTATTTTCGAAATGCTTCAGTAATTGTGTGGAACTGTTGATTTTAAGCGTCCTCTTTCTCTTGTTTTTCTTCTGTCATGGTTTAAATTCCATGAGGAAATCGAAGGAATATTGCCAAGCTATTTTTTTTGGGTGATGTGAGCTTGTTGATTTTCTTTTCTATGTATTTTTTTGAGAAGGGATTGCATTTTAAATTGACTTGGGCTTAGTTTGGGACGGCTTTCTTAAACCAGTTTTTTGATAAAAAAATTATATTTTTACTCGAATCTTTTTTAAGAAGTCATAAGAAAGTCGTCCCAAACTAAATCTCATTCCTCATAATGAAAATGAAAAAAAGAAAGGACAAATTTTAACACTAAGCATCGTTAACAATGTTATTAGCTAATTAAAAATGCATTAAAAAAATTTAAAACTAGACATAATCGCCCGTTAGATGGGCAATTAGCTATGCATACGTAAATTGGTTGTTTAACGGGCGATTAGCTATGCTTGCATAAATCGCCCATTAGACGAGCGATTAGCTTCAATCCCATAAATTTTTTAAAAGGCCGATCTTGACCTATTCTTCTCCTTCTTGGCCGTTCCTTCTCGTGATCTCCTTCGACTGCTGTGCAACTTCGCTGGCTCGAGGTAAGCGCTTCAGATTTGGTGTTCGTAGCGACTTCATATTGGACGTCCCGCACTTTATGTCCCAAAGCATGTCAGCTTGGATGAACTTTCTGTTGGATATAAGTAATCCATTTCATCTGCCCTAAATTCTTAATACATATAATAATTCTGAATACGTGCTTTCTCCGAAAATACGCTCCAAAATATCAACGACTTATTCTATCAATGCATAATTTTCAATTTTCGATAAAATGCATAATTTACTATTTAATATTAAATAAAATAAAGAATCTAAAATTAATTTTTTTTAAAAAAAATTGGTCCAAGGCTAAATTGCCCGTTTATCGCAATGGACGATTATGCCTAGTTTTATATTTTTTTATCGATGCTTAATTTCCTAATTAAAGAACTAATGATGCTTAGTCCTAAAATTTCCCAAAAAGAAATCACATAGGGGATCATCAAGAAAATGTACAGAGCTATATAGAGATTTTAAGTGGTTTGAAATCAATCCTCCTAACGCATAATTGCATATATGTCACTATATTGCTAGTCAGGATAATAATAAATATTGAGCAATGACACACGAAGACAAGATAACAATCACAACAGTTAGGCCTGCACAGAGATCCAAACAATGCTGATATGATTTGGTTATTGAAAAATAAAGTGGTTGGAAATTCAAACATTAAATAATACAAGTGAGAAATATAGGAGTAGGTATTGTGGTAGAGGCCGGCGTAGACGTTAATTTTTTTGTTTATGTAGTTTTTTTCCCTATTCTCTCTTCGGTGTTGCTGTGCTTTATTGGTTTTCGTTATGTGGTTGCGCTGGATTAAGGGCTATGATGGGACTGGAGCTCGCGTCTGTGTCGCTTTCGCTGGTGTTAACCTTTGGTGTGATTTCTTCGGGTTGGTTTGGATGTTGGACGCTGTTTTCCATCATTATTGGATGGTCCGTGCGAGACTTCAGGGAAGCTAGAAGCCTCGGCTGCTTTACTGAGCTCGCTATTTGATTGTAATTTTCCGATCACGCTTTACTTTCTTATCTTCAGCTCATGTAACCGTTATTTCTTATGATTAATATATCTGTTTTTCAAAAAAAAAAAAAAAAGTAAGAAATATCAAAGTGGAAGGTTTGATTGGTGAAGAATGAAATATTTAGCTTATTTTGGTGGGTGAAAAATTGCATGTAGGTTTATTTCTGCATTTTCTTTATTTGTTAAATATGTTTTAATTGATCACCTAACATTGGTGGTTATTAGATAATTTATGTATTAGTTGCACTTGCTCGCTAAGTATTTTCTTAGTCCAAAAAAAGATCAAAATAGTCTCTTGACTTTTTATAAAGGATTAAAATAATGTTTTAACTATATTAAAACATTATTTTGATCACTCAAGTCTTTAAAAAAAGAAACAAATAGTCCTTCGGAGGACTACTTCGATTCTTTTTCAAAGAGTTGAGAATCAAATTATTCTTTAATATAGCTAATGATTATTTTGATTCTTATAATATAAGCCAATAATAATATGTTTGACCAAAGAAAATAATAATTAGATAATAATAATAATTTTTGTCAGCTAATTTATTTTTATTTATTGTGATTTCTTTCTATTATTTTCATCATCATATCACTAAGTAATATTTAAGTTAAAATATTGATAAAAGCATTATCTTCTTATGCAGAGTCATTTTTCAGGAGAGTTAATAATTAAACAACAGATAAACATTTTTAATAAAGGGGATAAAGAAACTTCCACAAAAATAATTCTGAAAAAAAAAAAAATCTGATGTTGAGGATTTTTGTCGACCGTAGATTTAGAAGATAATGAAAATCAAATAAGCAGATGATAATGCCTTCAAAGGCCTAAGAGCTTTGATAATGCTCATTTGCTACTTTTAACAACTATGGTAATTAAGCACTAACGACTCTCGGAATTTAATTATTTTCTTAATTAACCCATTAAAGCCTTGTGAGATCACTTTTGTTTATTATTATTATTAATATTTTAAAATATATTTATATAATGTGTTTTATGATTTCTTTATTTATTAAAAAAAATAAAACAAGTTATTTCCAGAAACATCAAAATAATTTTTATTTATTAAAAACAATTGTCACTTCAAAATAATTTTATGTTTAATGGGCCTGATTAATTCAAAACATCACATAATTAATTTAATTAATTTAAGCATGACTGGCATGAATTCTTAGATTGCGGTGACATGAACGAGGTGAATTTATTTGTAGACTGATGCGTCTCTTTTGAGCTGAGTTCATGCAGACCAAATTATCTGGGCTTGAATCTTATCGGCCGAGTTTAAATAGGACCAACTTGATTTGAATCCAATTTTTTGAGTATTTGAATGTATATATTTCACCATATTACTTAAGTTACAATGGGTGATAATACATTATAGATATTAGAAAGAAGTTTATGTGATGATTCACATATGTTGCTCTTTAAGAAAGTTAATTAGCTGCTAATGAAAGATAGTTAAATGCATATTAGTAAAACATTTCCCTAACATTGAACTGTGTTAATTAGTAAAATATGCTAAACTATTCAAACTTAAGAGTAATTTGATATCATTTCCTTTATTGAAAAATTAATTAGATGCCCGATTTGGTCTCTTTTGCCAATTTTTTCCATTTGGTATATTCATAATACTTCTTCAACATAAATTAAGGCTTCATTTGAGATGATTTTTTTGATATTTTTTAAAGTAATTTTTTAGTTAAAAAATTAATTTTTCTATTAAAAAAGTACTTTAAGAAGCAGTAAAAAAATCATCCCAAACGAAGTGTAACTTGTGCCAGTGTTGGTAAAGTCCATAAAGGAAAATAGTATATTATTATTTAGAGGCCATTCAATAAGACAACTTCATTTTAACCTTTAGTAATGATGTTTTCAAAGCTAATAAAAGACTAATTGTGCAAAAAAATTTGTCTCATTTTGCAAGATAGAATATTTCAGTACCATAGAGAAGTTATTTTGAGTATGACTAAGGCTTTGTTTGGGAAAGATTTTTTAAAAAAATTTATATAAAAATATTGCTTTACGAAGCAGTAAGAAAGCCATCCCAAACGAACCCTAAAAGTCAAGGTCTGCTTGGGACGGTCAGTGTCCTGTAAGTTTGTTTTAAAGTTGAGAAAAATTGAGATAGCTATTATAGTTGCAAAAAATAGATTTCCACTCGTGAATAGTAGTGAGAAATCAACAAGAAATCAATAGCCAAATAAAATTGTGGTCGTTGTTCGAAAAAACAAAGCAGCGAAGAACTATCAAAAACATACCTTAAAGCCGCCCCAAATAAAAACCTTAATTTAAATCCCATTTGGAAAGGCCTATTTCCTTGCTGAATAAATAGAACAATTTGACCCCTTCCAAAGCATCTTCATAATCTCTCAAGGCTAAATTATTTGAACTTGGACCAAGCAATGAAGACAAAGATGGTTTACATAAAATTTATCGAAATGAAGTAAATACCCATCAAAAGTGTTTATATAAATGATCTGATTTAGTTGCAAGAGAGGCAGATCAGATCAGAAGAGTGGAGACTAAGGATGAGTGAGCAGAATAGTCAGAAGATCATTTTAGTTCATGGAGGTGGCCATGGAGCCTGGTGTTGGTATAAGGTGCTAGCCATGTTAAGGTCGCAGGGATACTCAGTGACAGCCGTTGATCTTGCAGCCTGCGGCTCTGATCCACGAAGAATGCCTGAAGATGTCTCCACCTTCGATGTGTATGCCCAACCTCTAATGGACTTGATGGATTCAGTGGCTGAAGGAGAGAAGGTAGTGTTAGTTGGGCATAGTTTTGGTGGATTAAGCTTGGCTAAAGCCATGGATGCCTTTCCTGAGAAGATTGCAGTTGCTGTTTTTGTCACTGCAATCATGCCTGATACCATTCATTCACCTTCTTATATCCTCGATCAGGTAAATACTCCTACAGTCACTTACAGCAATACTCACATTCATCAATTTGTAATTTTTTTAAACTCTGGATTAACAAGTTTTGATTTTTTTATACAAGCAGCATTATTTGCAATTACCAGAGAAGTACGCTAAAATTGAAACAAAGAGCATTGTAATTCCAGGAAGATCTGAGCCATTTATTTTTTCGACCTTACAGCCTACATTTCTCGCCAGCTACCTTTACCAAAATTGCTCCTTTGAGGTAATTTCTTTGGTGATTATGTATGATTTAGCATCAATGAAGTAAATCTCATCCTTTAGAACATTGGATTTGATGATAAATTCATTTTTCATTGTGATAAACTAAGGTTTCATTTGGGACGACTTTCTTGTTGCTTCTTAAAGCAACTTTTTAGTAAAAAATGAAGGCTTTGTTTGGGTCAGCTTTCTTATTGATTCTCAAAGCATTTTTTTAGCACAAAAAATTTAATTTTTGTACTAAAAAGTTGCTTTAAGAAACAAAAAGAAAGCCGTCCCAAATAAAGCCTAAATTTTTATATAAAAGCTGCTTTAAGAAGCAACAAGAAAGTCGTCTCAAGTGAAACCTAAGTAGTAAGTTCTGATATGTGAACAAAACACATTCATATATTGAAGTGGCTAAACAAAGAAATAATAATTTGTTGTTAAGGATTTGACTTTGGCGGAGATAATGGTGAGGCCTGCATCAATTTTTCGAGAAGATTTGAACAATAAAGGGGCATTCTCCAAAGAGAGATATGGATCTGTTGACAAAGTGTTTATCATATGTGGAGAAGATGCTATGTTGACTGCAGATTTTCAGCACTGGATGATTCAGAATAACCCAGTGAAAGAGGTGGTGGAGATCAAAGAAGCAGATCATATGGCGATGCTTTCAAAGCCTAAAGAGCTATGCCAATGCCTTACAACAATTTTTAGCAACTATGCTAAGTGATTACTAAAGTGTCTCTGAATCTTTTATGATTTCAGAGAAAGTCTTTGGTCAGTTATTATTTTCGTAATGCTTCTGTACTTGTGTGCAACTGTTGACTTCAATCATCTTCTTTCTCTGGTTTTTCTTCTGTCATAGTTTAAATCTCAAACAGTAAAATGAATTCCTGTTTTTCAATTATGTTATCTGCTTGCGTTGGCATACTGCTCTCTGTTTTACTTTCTTTGTTCTGAAATTTGCTTCAGTTTTACATGGTATCAGAGCCATTCTTGGCTCGCAGACCATACCTGCCCTCCTCTCACACTTGCCTTAACCTTTTAGGTGACGTTCAAGACAACACCACCATTCCCTCCTCTCTAAAATTTTTTATCTCCAACATAAAAATATTGTCCCCATCGCCCACCCCTCATGGAAATCCCAGATCCTTAAGTTGTTCAGAGCAAAAACTCCTTCCTTGATCCCTCAGCAGCCGTTCCACCTCGCCTCGTATACAGCCAGACAAAATCTCCCGACAAAACAAATTGTTTACCCGATGGACGTTCATAGACCAGAATATAACCACCACACTTTGCTCTACACTCTATCTCCCTCCATTCTTCCATATGTCTTTAACCTATACTCATGTGCGGACATCTGGATGAGGTTTGAGCGTCGACTACAAGCAACAAATCGTTCCCTACTCATTCAACTCAAGAACGAGTTGCATAACATATCTATGGGACAATCTATGATGCTTCAGTACCTTACCACCATCAAGACATTTGTTGATAACATAGCTGCCGGCGTCACTATTAATCCTGAAGATATCCTTCTTTACACTCTCAACGGCCTGCCATCTCAGTATCAGACATTCAAGACTTCAATCCTTGTGAGATAAGTTGGGAACATGAAATAGATTAAGAAGTTTGAACTTACGGGATGGGGTGGGGAGTATTCCTTGTCTTGAGTGTGCTAATGGAATGGTATTGTTGTCTCCAACAGCAACTTGGTCTAAATCTTGATAAATGTTAGGGTGGATGATGTTGTCGATATTATGTGTGAGATGTGATGAAGCTCCAGAGTTGATGAACCAGTTGGACGACTATGGAATGGTGTTCACGGCAAGGGTTTTGATTTACGGAGGTGGGGAGTAGTTTATGGTGAACCTGTGTCACTAGTGTTGAGCAAAATGACAATGTTTTCGGTTGATTTGGCAGTTGACAACAGGTGTTGTAGGGGTTGATCGGTTGGAGACTGGGTTGCGAGATAGTCTGGCACATCCTCTGTATCCTCGACCACAATAAGAGTATAGCGCATTGTGGAAATTTGTGGCTTGTATTTCTCTTGCCTGTTCTGAGGCAATATTGATCTCCTCGTTGATAAGAAGGAAGTATAGATCTTCTAGGTTGATAATTGTTAGCTTAGTCCTCATGGATGTTTTGAAAGCTTGCTATGTGATTGGTAAGCCGTTGAGAGTGTAAAGTATTATATCTTTGGCGTTCTCTTGTGAACTAACTGCAGCTATATTGTCCACTATGAATTTGATTACTTGAAGGTATTGTATCATTGTCATGTTCTTCATAGAGATGTAGTGTAACTTGTTTTTGAGTTGTATGACCCTGGAACTGTTGGAGGCATGCAGGCGTCGGGATATGGTTGCCCAGATGGCGTAGCAGGATTCGATTTGAAGCACATAAGGAAGAATGCTTGTAATGATAGTGAAGCAGATAGTTGCGGCAATATTTTGATCTATCAGTATCCATTGATTGTAAGCGGAATTAGGCTGTGAGGTGCCATCAGAATGTTGGATGATTGGTGATGGTGGTGCTGTCGAGCCATCCAGAAAATCTAAGTAGTCGTTAGCTTTGAAGAGTTTGTTGATTTGTGAGCTCCACATAGGATGGTTGTCATTGGATAATTGGATGAGAACAAAGGTTTTGATGTTGGAGATGACAATTTTGAGTGAGGAAGGGATTTGAAAGAGCAATAAGAAAGCTGTGCTAAATGAAGCCAAAAATAAGGTCAATAATATCTAACTTGATCACTTTAATTACATCAGAAGATTAGATTAGATACCTCTAAAAATATGCCAAAATTTTCCATTAAGTATCAAGAGAGCGCCACTTGACATAAATGATCACACAAATATTGATTAAGTCAATCAATGATAGAGTACATTATCATGTGGAGGCCAATATTCAATAAGACAACTTCATTTTAATCTTTAGTAATGATTTTCATCTAATGCGTATCATAACAAATAAATTAATTCTTATTATGCTAACAATTCTTCTGCTTTTGCAAGATAAAATATTTCACTGTATAGAAATTATTGTGAGTTTAGTTGATGATTAGAGCTGCAGAACTGTAATTGCGAAATGTAAATGATAATTTTTATTTGATAAAAAATGATGAGAAGCCATTTTATCATTCTAAAAAGCCAGAAAAAATTTCATTTAAGAAGGCTTCATTTGGGACAACTTTCTTACTAAAGCATATAAAAATTTCAAATTAAAAAAAAAACATAATTATCAATCATTAAGAAAGTTATACCAAACGAAACATAAATTAGTGAAAGTATAAAAATAAGGAGAAATTATTGTGTACGATGTGTGTACACACTACGTATTTTGTTGCGTATTTTTTGATACATAATTTTTTCGTGGCAAAATAAGTAGCAAATAAATAATACTCACTAAATACACAAAAAATACTAAAAAAATACGTAGAAAAAATTATGTATCAAAAAATACGCAGTGTGTATGCACATCCGAACACGTTCGGATTGCGTACACAATAATTTCTCAAAAATAAGGATGGTTTAGATTTTTGTAGGTGCGCTTTTAATTTTGTTTTTTTTTTTTTTTTTTTTTTTTGACATATTGCAAAATAACTAACAAAAAGCAGTTTCTGATAAATAGATGAATTATATTAGCCACTCAAAAGGCTCTCAATTAAGGGTCTATTTGGTACACAATTCTTGTTGCTTTATTTTTTAGATCACAATCATAATTTTATTTGGATATTACTTTCAATTAATTTTTATGCTAAAATTTGTTTTGAGGAAGTTATTTTTTCCCACGACAGCTTCACAATCACTTAACAAAAAATTATAGTCATTCCAAAGAGACTCTACATACAATACATTTGATATAAATTAAATTTCATTTATTTACATATCGTCAAACAAAAAATATTTAGGCAGAGAAGATTAAGTTTTAAATTTTATCAAAATTACATACGTCCCTGTAATATAAAAAGAAAATATTTCATAAAAAAACTTATATATAAATGGCATGAAAGACATGACAGAGAAGCATATCAAAGGAGAAGAAAGGATGAGTGAGCAGAATAATCTGAAAATCATTTTAGTTCATGGATGTGGCCATGGTGCCTGGTGTTGGTATAAGGTGGTAGCCATTTTAAGGTCTCAGGGATACTCAGTGACAACCGTTGATCTTGCAGCCAGCGGCTCTGATCCACGTAGAATGCCTGGAGATGATGCTATGTTAACTGCAGATTTTCATCATTGGAGTGAAAGAGGTGATGAAGGTCAAAGAAGCTAGCAGATCATATGGCGATGCTTTCGAAGCCCAAAGAGCTATATATGTCAATCCCTGTTGAGAAAGCCTTTTGGGCCATTATTATCTTTGAAGTTGCACTCTTGCCCTCCATTTTTCGATCTCCTTCTCCGTTTGAAGGAGGAGGAAGACGCCACCGGCCAAAGCTTCCCCTCTTCAGCTTTGTTGCTAACAGCATATTTACCCAATACAAGTGTAGAGCCAAAACGCTGGCCTAGCTGGTGCCTCCATAACAGAGATGGAAGGTAACCCCGACCTTCCTTCTCTCCCTTTCTTGTGTGGTGCAACAAAACTCCTCCACAAGAATTATAATTTATGTTAAGGTAAGTGGAGTTTATCTCCACATTTTTCTCTCGGAAGTTTGATTTTAAATGGTCATTTTAAATACATGAAAATATTGGGAAAAAGTTGGACTAAGGCTTCCTTTGAGACGGCTTTTTAGCTGCTTCTTAAAGCATGCTTCAGTATAAAAATTAAAAATTTTATATGAAAAAGCTGTTTTAAGAAGCAATAAGAAAGTCCTTAAATTCAAAATCTTATTTGCATCCAATCCTTTACTACTACCATCATATTTGTTGTATAAAAGAAGAATAAATTAATAGTTACCCTTTCATCCTACAATCATAAGAAAACATAAAATAGATCGAGAGAGAAGGGAGAGGGGGACTAGCCCTTTCATTGTAGGTGAAATTCTTATAATAGAGAAGAAAAGAGAGTAGTAATAGGAACATCAATATCTTCTTCATGTTCAACCTTCATCTTTATGACTAATGGCTATGTTCCTTCTTAGTCATTGACATAGTGAAGAAAATTGCATCTCTATATATGCTTTTCTTCAACTTGTATGAAGAAAAATCATTAATGCACATCTCATTTGAATTTTAATAAAATATTTGATATTTGTGCAATTGTGGACATAGATATTTAATATATTCAATGAGGTCAAAATAGCAGGCATCATGATGATGCTCTATGTTATATATGAAATTCCTTCACAATTGATCAAGTTACATATAATGAGCAAAATTTCAAATCTCTTGATATCAAAAGAAGCTTCAATCATGTATCGCGTCCATGAGTTAAAATCCATCACAAGACAATTGAACTGATGAATATAAAATAAAATATTCATACCCATCTACGAGATCATGGGCGTACCCATACCAACCCGTACACACCCATAATCCAATGTAAGGTGGGTACGTAGATGGGTGTGGGTATGGATATACCCAATGCAGAATTATGCTCTCTAAAAAAGAAACATTGGAGTACACTCATAAGAGCATTGAGTTTTCATAGAGTTTTCACAAGACTTTGAGAGAAAACGAAGAGAAATAATAGTAGTTCTTAGACCCAAGATAAAATATGTAGTTAAGCTATTACATTAGATCAGAAGAAGAGAAAAGACTATTTCATGGCATTAGGATCCTGTACGAGGACTTGAATGACTTCAGTAGCTTTAGATATTGCCAACCTTCAATTGTAACTTGAATGATTTGGCCACTTGACCTTTACCAAGGGCGGCTAAATAGACATTTTGAGAGTTCATGACATAGTCTATGACTTAGGTTTTGTAATCCTTCATATTGATAATAATCTATGACTAAAGTTTCGTTTGGGATAACTTTTTTACTGTTTTCTAAAAGGTTTTCTAGTTCAAAAATTTATAATTCAAAAATTTTTTTTGTATTAAAAGACTACTTTAGAAAGCAGTAAGAAAGCTATCTCAAATGAAACGTAAATGGACATTTTGAGAGTCCTCGTCATATATATAAATAGATACATGACTGACTCTCATCATGACCCTCTACTTTGTTACATTCTAAACGTACTCATGTTGTTACAATACCATATGATTTCTCATAGCAAAATATTCTCATTCATAAATCAACAAAAAAATTCACTTGATTAAGCACAAATATTGATGTATATTAGACTTATAAAATTTCAAAAATTAATTGAGGACAACGCAAACTTCGATTTCAACAAACTCATTGTTGGATTGACTGTCTCTATAGGACAAACCCATCAATTAATTACTCTATAGATGATATGATCTGAGTCCAAATGTGACCAGATCAAGCGCTTGAAGTTTAATTGAAAACTTTGGGATTTCAATGGAAGAACCAAATGATTTCTAAGGCTTCGTTTGGGACAGCTTTCTTCTATTTTTCTAAAACAGCTTTCTAGTACAAAAATTTTTTGAATTTAAAATTTTATTACTAGAAAGCCGTTTAAAAAAGCAATATAAAAGCTGTCCCGAACGAAGCATAAACCATGTATGTACTACCACTATTACATAATCAATTTTTTCGATATTCAATAAAAATAAATTAATAACTTAAATGTATCAAATATATTTTGCTACGAAGCAAAGCATAAATAAATAAAACAAAAATAAATAAATAAATAAGATACCAAATGAGACCTTACTTGAGAGTTGAGACCATGATAACGCCAAAAGAAAAACTTCACATTTCCAAAATATAACTCGCCTAATGACACCTTTGAATTTGGTTATTCCTCCAGTGGATGCCGGGATACAACAAAATCTTAACCCCCCTGAACTTGTTTTATCTCCATCCCTGAATCTTCCTTCTAATCATCTCATTGCTGATACTATGGAAACGGATCAGATTTGTTTGAAACCTGGTGTTGGGGTGGAGGTTTTGCCTTTGCCTGTTACCACTGCTTCCCCTGTTTTGCTGGATGTTACTATCGGGATGGGGGCTGATGCTTTACCTGATTTTAGTGCTGTTGATGTTTCGAGCCCTCGGTTCCAAAAGTATCCAAAAAAAATTAAGAATCTAATATCCAAAATAATCCAAAAAAAAATTGAGATAAACCTAACATCCAAATTATATTATCAAGAATGGAGAAGTTATTTCTCCTGCAAAAGAAAGCTACTCAACTTGCATAGCAAACTGAGTAAATAATATCACTGAGAGCATCAATTGCTTTCAAGAAAAATCATCCAAAAAAAGCTACAGTAAGTAATATATGTCGCTTAAGGCTTGTGACGATATGGACTATTCCATTTAACCTGACTCCACATTTAACCTGAACAATAATGATAAAATGATTTCAAAAGAAAAAAGTAAAAATTTGGGAGGCAGTAGTACATTGAAACAAGTGGATCTCACAGCAAGGTACAAGCAAGTGGATCTCACAGCAAGACAAAAATTTGGCACAAGGATTCAGATTATGTGACTTACTGAATAAAACTTTGACATGCCATCCTGCAATGGTATCTGGTAAATCCAATTAGGAAGAAATAATGAAATTTCAAAAATTGATGGATCTATTCAGCCTGTCATCTAAAAATATTATGTTTTTAGATGAAGACGATTCTGTTGGATTTATGCATTATTCTTTTTGTGCATCAATCTTAAGAAAATAGAGAAGATATTTTTAAGCTATTAAAATCAATTCTTCCAATATTATGAAGCATCAACGGAAATCAAATGAAGATCTTATCATTGTTGATATTAAATTCCACCAAGTTCCTAACTTGAAACCTAAGCAATCTGCAGTCTTCTTAAATGAAAGTTTAGGTAATAAAATTCAACACCGAGTAAATAAAAGATTATTAATATTTTTGGGTGTTTGATATGTAAATACATAAAAATTATATATTTGCATATTTCACATCTAAATTTTAAATAAATAATAAGAGGTTTACACACATTACATAAATTTTATATATTTGCATATTTAACACCTAAATTTTAATATTTACTTATAATAAAAAATTTCAATCAAATAATAAATATCACTAACATTAATTTTTCTAAGACGAAATTCATCTTTTTATGTATGTGTTTTGATGTGATGGAGATATTAAAATATTATACGAATAAATATCAAAATATGTAAATACATAAGAATTGTTTGATATGTTTGTAAATCCTCTCAAATATTTTTGTAACATTGAGTCACCCCTCAAAAAATAACTGAACAAGGGAGATTAATAAAGCTGAACTTTATTAACAAATTGTGAATTTCAAGTTCTATAAACTTCTATCCTTTATAGGAATGAAATCACCAATACCTGAACTTCACACTCACTTCCTCATCCAATATCTATACCATACAATGTTGAATGAGCTCCTTCCAAAGAAAAATAAACGGAGAAATTATGCAATGAGCATAACAAAAACGAGTAGTTGAGTACCTTTGAGGTAAGAAGCAATAATTGCAACCGTGAAAGAAATAAATTATAATCCCGGTGAACATGCTGGGCCTTGACATTATTCATGTTAGTATGCCCATGTTTCGAAGACTAAGGCAGTTTCCATTAGGTTGCTTATTTTATCTTGAAGTAACTTTGAAACATCTAAAGACCTCTGTCCTTTATAAAGACAGTTTTGTGCTTTCTTGTTGAGGATAAACCAACCATCGTTCTGTAAGTGCTGAGAAGTTTCAGTAGAAGGAAACAGTTCTCATGTATATAGAGTTGCACAATGTTATATTTTATTAAGTTAAGCTCAGGCTTAATGATTCAATTAGGAAACCTCAATTGCTTTCATTTAAATAGTTGGCGAGCCTATTAAAAATTTTAAGTAACAAAAAAAAAAATTGTGATATGTTTTTTAAATTCAATGAAGCAATCACATGCTTGATTGCTGTGGATGAAATTGTCCTAATTTGAGGCATGCTAGAGGCCAACATAACGTTCAGAAAGTAAGTTTGGAAGAGAATGATTACCTTCGCATTATAGCTAAGCATTCCCAGCACGGGACAAACCACATCTTACTTGTAAGAACACGACCTAGAAGGATTTAAGGTGAAATGGCCCAGGAAGTTATAGGTCAAGAAACTTCAATTTATGAATACCAAAGTCAATGCCAATTATAAACAAATGTCGTTGTTATTTAGGAAAAATTAAAGCTTCAGAAAACAAGAGATAAAAGGTAAAACGCGTCCTTAGAACTGCATTATAACTTGTCACAATCTTGATTCAAAATAGGCATTCAAAGATCATGTACAGGCATTTAAGTTGTCAAAAATTAAATATGGCAATTAAAGAATATAACATTAGACCATAGATAACGACCATTTTTAAATATCTTGTATGAATACAACATTTGATCATATATGGCAGGACAGTTTTTAAATATCTGATATCAAGTCATTCATTTAAGATAATATATGAAAAATCTCTATATAACGTTTCTTAAAGATATATAATATATAAAATAGTCCTCAATTAGCATAGAAAATAGTGATCATAGAAACATAAAACCTCTCAACCATAGAGTTTCTAAAAAAAAAGGAACAATGGAAATGGAAAAGTATATCGATTTAATTTTTAGGCCGAGCAAACAATGCTATGCACAGAAAATAACCAGTTGGATTCATTTGCTATTAGTATATAATAAGAAAATAGGACCAGAAAGAAATGAAGGATATATTCACCCATACCTTAAACTGCTTAGTCACATCCCTTACTAATGATCCAGAAACTTCAATCCAAGCCTTTGAGAACAATGGACAAGCCGACAGCACAAAAACTATGTAAAAAAGAACATTTAGTGGATTTGCAGCCATATCTGCCAGCCAAACTATACCACAATTCCATCAAAAGGACCACATAAATAACATGAAAAATAAGGCTTAACAGCAAAAAAGTGTTGCATTTTGTATGATCAACAACAAGATGAATACATGATAGCAAGACAAAAGAAATACTATAATACCTTGGACCTTGAAGTTGTTCAGCAGAAATAATATCTTAAAAAGTCAAAGAAACGTTTGAGGAAAAGCGCACGTTGAAGCATCGAAAACATGATTTTGATAATACTAACAGTAGTAGTAGTGATAGTAGCAATAGTATATACATATATATATGAAATATCTTATGACACCACTCTCTCGCTCATCATTTAGTCAGCCAATAACGTCTCAGCTGCCGAAGTATCACCATACCCATTAGCCTAATATCAAGAACAGATAAGTCTCTGGACAAAGCCCAATTGGTGAATTGGTTTCTTGACAATAAAAAATAAATAACTTTTAGATAAATGCATCAAGAAGCTAGTGAAATGGAAGAATCTAGCTTCCAGTTCTAGTTCCAATACACATCAAGCGTGCTTCCCTGAATACAACAAGACAGCCTAAGAAAATAGTAACTCAAATTAAATCCAACATTTTAATGTGCCAAACGTAACAATCTCTAATACTAACCATTATTAATCAAATCAAAAAAACTAAATTCAACCGAAACACATTTCCATAAGGAAAAGCACAGCAATAAAAAATGGAAGCTACAATCAACTTGTCTGTTACCTTTAAGGCATCGAAATGATCCCTCTTGATCATATTCCCCATATTTGCGAACATGGAGATGGTGAGGAAAGTGCCGAAAATCTATCTCAGATCCACAACAGCTTAATCTGTAAGCAAACTCGATTGTTAACCTTTGGGTGAAGCTAATGAGAAAGTGGATCATGAGGACCCAGATGCATGGAGGACCACACTGGGCTCCTCGGATTGACGATGCGAGTCGTCCGACCCTATCTACTGTTCTGCACAAGAGATATAAATATTAAGAATGAGAAGAAGAATTGTGAAGAGGAGGAGCCCGATGACCTCTCATCTTTCGCGTGAAGAAACGAAAAGCCGGAAGAAAACGCCAAGGAGTGTTAAGCAGTAGAATGAGAAGAAGAATGAGGGAAGAGGAGAAGCCCGACACCTCATATCCCGCGCAAAAAAAAAAACATAGGGCTGGAATTAATGTAGCATTAAGCGGTAATTAATTGGGTTAATTGAAAATTCACTAATGCGAGACGAGGCGACTGATTTAATAAAAGAGAGGTTTAAATGAAAAATAAGATTTAAATACAATCGAAATAATGCACGGCTTTAATATAGTAAAAAACGAAGTCACCTTTATGCATTTAATTTAATTGCCGTAGTATAACATTTGATTATAATGTTAATATAGTCGAATACATTTTATAAATAAATTAAAGCGGATTCATTAAAGCTGTTAAAATTCTATGTACTTTTATATATAACATTTAAAATTTTATGTGCACATTTCATCCGTTAAAATTTGATTAAAGTAACGGTTAAGAATTTATTAAATAGAATAAATATTAAAATTAAGTTTTAAAATTAATTTGGAATGAAGTCTACATAAAGAGCATTAAATTATATAAGTATTCTTTTTTGAAATATTAATTATTTATATTGTAATGAATGGCCAAGATAATTTATGAAATAAAATAGATGGCCAAGATTTGCTAATGAAGGAAATTCAAGACCTTTTATAATAGTAGTATAGATATAGATTAATAAGTTTAAATTTAATAGTTATTAATAGGTTAATAATTTTGTAATTAATGGAGCTTTTAATTTTTAGGAATATGAAGTGTTTATAATGAAGGGTTAGGATACTATTTTAAGAATTGAAATGTAAGGCTAGGATTGCATATGAGTGGAATCCCAAGCCACTTTTATATAGTAGTATAGATATATCTGCAATAATCATACATACACACATCTACAGCTACATAAC